AGGCAAAATAAAAAAATTTCAGCAAAAAAAAATTTCAACGGAAGAACACGGCTGTAAATTCGAAAACAAATTATCGAATCAAGCGACAATCAGAGGCCGTGATCATTAAGTCAGCAGAAGGCAATAGCTACTCCGGGGTCCTAAAGAATACCCAAAGCAAGGTGAACCAAAAAAGAAGCAGATGTTAAGATCAAAGGGATCCACAAAACAAGAGATGTCGCAATACTACTAGAACTGGAGAAGGGGCAAACTACAAAGTCTAGCTTCTGCGCGGCACTCAAAACCACCCTTCAAGAATTTGTAATGATGGCCGACCTTAAACTAAAAACTACAATACTATTGAGGTTAGAGACCTCGACTACCTCAAGCCGAAGATTCAGGACTTTAACGAAGACATCAAGATACTTAGAGACTTAGACTTAACATCATCATCTGCATCTGCGGCCAACCAGATCACAAATTGAAAGAAAACACAAGGCCTTCATTCTGCTGCCTTACTACAGAGGCCGAACACGAACGAGTTGACCAATTACCGGGTTCTGCAAAATGCGTAGTATATAGAAAAAACCTGAATAAATGAATATCCTACCAGTCAATATGCATAGGTGCAAGGCTACTGCCGCACTACGTCACTACGTACGTGAAGAACAGCTATGATCAAATCATCATAATCGAACAATACAAAGAAAAATAGAGCGGAATCTGGTTAGAAGATAGCAGCTCAATCGCCGCTATACGCAGCTGACGCCAAGCGATAGCATACACGAACTCCAGGTAGAGCTCAACGACATCGAAGACTGCTAGGCCTTTACAGGGCCATTTAATTGTCGCCGGAGACGCCTAAACTCGAAAGCCATAGAGTGCGGTATGCCAAACACCGACTGCTGCGCGGCTTGGTCTAATAGTGCTAAACAAAAGAGACGAAACCACGATTTGAAGACCAGGGTGCGAGGAAACCATCTCCGCAATAGACTAGCAAAACCCATCTAGCAGCTCCCCCTAAACCGCAAGGAATATTGTCGAGCACACAATGCTTAATATAACAAGAGATTGTAACAAATCAATGCCCAAAGCTTCCCACAGCAAACAAAAAGCAGCAGTTTGGACAGAAAATATCGCCCAATTTAGATGCACATGTCTTCGCACTCGCAGAGATCCAGGCGCACACCAGGAAGTCGAACAATATCAAGCGGCAAAAAAGGAACTTAAGCACGCCATCGGCGAGAACAAAAAGAAGAAATGGGAGGAACGCGAAGATGTTAGCAAAACCGTCTAGGGACCCGGGTATAAAATAAGTAAATCCCAATCAGTAAAGGAAAAGCAGATCCCAACTTGCCATCAGCATACCGCTCACTATGAATGCTCGACACAGCGGTAAAGCTTTATGAAAAACTACTTAAACCCAGACTCGAAGCGGCTATTCACGAAGGTGGAGGACTCTCCCCTAGACAACTTGGATTTAGGCCCGGCAGGTCAACTTTAGGTGCTATCAGATGCGTCATTGAAAGTGTAGAAGCCGCACAGCGTAGATCATACAAAAGAATTGTTTTACTGGACCTCCGTGCGGAGGTACCAAACTAGAGAGGGATCACAACGTCCGGTGTGTTTTACGTGAGTACCTGCCGACGACGGCCTTACCTCACGGTGCTCCAAAGCACAACGTATCAAAACAATGCATTGATCAGCGCCCTAAATAATACGAGCTATTTGCAAGTATTAATTTGGTTACCAAATTCCAGGGGCATTCTGCTCCCCGTGGTACCAGAGTTGAGTCTCCGGTAAGACTGTGTAGCTTACTGCCAGTTGAGCTCCGCCTTACTCAATGACTGGTGACAATTATCGCTTGAACTTCAAATATATTTTTATTTGGAATCTCATTTAAAGTCTATAATATCAGTTCAAGCTGAATATTATAGCACTATTTCTGCCATCATTACTATGCTCATATTTCTAGGCAAGGTAAAATAACAGTCAGTGCATTTGGCTTTTAGTTGCCTCTTACGACAGGCATGCCTTACCGCGGGTAAATTCTTACCCCTACCCGCAGGGGGAAGGGATCACGACAGACAGCGGTTACGTCAGGAGCAGCACAAGGATCCATTTTAGGGCCAAACTTGTGGAACATCAGCTACGACGCCATACTAAAACCCGCCATGCCAGACGAATCTTTCTTAATTGGCTATACGGACGACTTCGCGGTAGTAATACAGCCTAAAAGCTAAACCTGGTCCCGGAAACAACATAGTTAAAACAGATTAAGAAAAGTGAAAGCTCCTAATTTCCACAACCATCAGATGTGTCATACGGTGCAGAGAATTGGGCAGATGTGCTAAAAACGGAAAAATAGGTATTGGCTAGAGTACACCGCACCGCAGCCCTCAGAGTTGCATCAGCTTACCGAACAGGGTCAGACGATGCAATATTAGTTATTAGTGGTAATATAAAAACTGACCTCCTAGCATATGAAAGGAAAAAGCTGTGGGAGCTAAAGAAAACACCTGAGAATAATAAGATTGCAATCGAACAAATAAAGAAAGATACGATGTCAGAATGGCAACGAAGATGGGAGAATGAGATTCGTGGCAGATGAACGGCCACACTTATAAGAGATATAAACTTACGACAAGCCGAAAGTTTAGAGAAGTCGACTTCTACGCGACGCAGCTGCTATCCAGTCACGGATACTTCAAAAAGTACCTTCACAGAATGGGAAAAGTCGAGAAGCCGTTATGCCTATACAACTACGCGAAAGAAGACGACGCTGAACACATATTCTATGAATATGTGCGATGGCAAAGGGAACGCATAGAAGACCGGGTTGGTCCAATAAGCCCGGCCAATTTAATTAGCGTCATGCTGGAGAGCTAGGCAAACTGGGGAATCATCCAGAAATCCGCAGCAAAAAGCGGGAGATGTAAATCTCTCAATGAGAAAAATTAAAAGCCAACCTGAAGTAATGCAAACGTGGTTCAAGTGTGAGTGGCGCACATACCGTTGCTGTGACGACAGCATTGATGTTGCGGAAGGCATTTTCCACCCCCTTACCCGCAAAAGCAAATGTTTTTTTTTATAATTTACAGTGTCTAGTGATGAAATTATACGATTCAACTAATATTTATAATCTTAATTATGTAAATATCCTTTTAAATTTTTTAAATTTAATCAACTCAAAAAACATACTCTGCAAGCCAATTATGGGTTAAAGGTTTTTGGTATCCCAAAAATAAAAGTAAATAGAGCTTGCACCGCCCACAAATTAGTTAATGATAGCATTGTACACCATGAATGTCAGATAATCTTTGCAGACCAATAAATATAATAAAACTTGACATTGAAACAAGTAAGGAAGGGCTAAGTTCGGATGTAACCGAACATTTTATACTCTCGCAAAGTCAAATGGTATACTCGTTTGAGATTTCTTTGTGGATTGGCTGATATTTTCGGTAGAAGGTCAACTATAGACACTGGAGTCCACATATTTAGTACTTACGAGGCTTGAACAGTTTTGGTTCGATTTAGACAATTTTTGGTCACAAGGTGGCATACTTTAAACGTATTATTCACGCAAAGTTTTACCCCGATATAATCACTGTTGCTTGATATGCATAGTGGAAAGTGAAAGAATCAGATGGAATTGAAAATGGTGTTATATGGGAAATAGGCATGGTTGTAGTGCGATTTCGCCCATTTTCGCACTATAACATAGAAATATGAAAATAACGTTATGCACCGAATCAGATCCCAAGATATGGGCTATCACCTAAAAGTGGGCGGTGTCACGCCCACTGACTAATTTTTAACGCGGTTAACCTAAGTACTAAATATGTGGACCCCAGTACCTAAAGTTGACCTTCTACCGAAAATATCAGCCAATCCACAAAGAAATCTCAAACGAGTATACCATTTGACTTTGCGAGAGTATAAAATGTTCGGTTACATCCGAACTTAGCCCTTCCTTACTTGTTTTTCAATAAAACTATTATTTATTTATTTAAATTTTTTTACAAATTCTTTACAATCTTAAATATAATGAAAAAATAATAGAATGAGTAGCATATATGGTATAGCAATAAAATGTATAAAAATAAGCGAAATACCGAATGTTTAAATGAGCTAAGCCTCAGTACCACCACTCTCTCCGGAACAACTGACGCACCCTAATGCAACACACCACACCAGAGAACAATCACAGGTTCTCACCACTCGATGAAAACACACCATAACACGGCACCTGTACATCTAACAAAAAGGACGGGATCATCGCCCTCACATCATGTTTCGCTTATCGTCTACGGGCCTGAGCGCCACACATACCTTCGCTAAAATAAATCGTTCGGACACCAGTTTCTGCGCGCTACCGCATCAATTCAAGACGACCCCCACAGCGTTCGATTCCATCAATTATTATATTATATATTTAATTTCGTTTGTGTAAAATATATTGTTAGTAAATGCGGAATAAACTAAAATTATTGATTTACCGAGCCACTTGCGTTTATTTTATATTGAATCGAGTGTTAGTGTTGGATCACTGGTGTATGTTCCTACGCAAATTGTGTATAGATTTATTCACCGAATTTTTAAAATGTTCGTGCTTTTTAGCAAACTTTATGTTGTATAATTACTTTTACACGACTATCCATTCAACTTACAATTCTTATATGTCTTCCAGCAGTAATTATACATTTTCAATGACATTTAAGTTAGGGTGTTAGGTTGATGCGGGGTAGTGAGCTACCTCGTCTGAAAAAGTTACAGTGTTCCAAATATTGGGTCCTGCAAAACATGAATTTAGACGAATATCTCGGCTAATATATGACAAATTGTTGATGCATTGGAATCTTTCTATACAAAGAAACATTTAATATATTTTTCGAAGTTATATTTAAAGTAATTTAAGGGATAAGTTGAATATTCAGTTTAACATGCCATCGAAAGTTCAGATTTTGAAGAATATAGAAATTTCAAGCTTATTAAATTCAAAAGTAAATGTTAAATACTTTCATCAGTTACGCATTTTTTTATTTTTAAAAGAATTTATATAAAAATGTGCAAACTAAAAGACATGAACAGTGGTTGGTAATTAATCTATGATGAAAAGGGGAGATCATTTTTTTAACAGAAGGTGTAGGTCTTTAACCACCATATATGTATGTACAGTTCCAAGAGAGAGAAAAGATTACTGAAGTTCATTTGAATGCATAAATATCAACAGGACAGAGATTTAATAAAAAGATATAATATAAAATCGTCTTAAATATTTTTTAATAATTTTAATAATAAGCAGTTTTTTCTTAATAGGCCAAATTTATTTGAAATTCCATTACAAAACAGAATTTTAAAAATGCAAACGGTACTAATGATATTGGAAAACTCAAATTTTTCTATTTATTTCCTGTAATTAAACTGTTCAAAATTAAAACAAAAAAACATGCGAAAAGTTAAAGACTGCGGAATATCAGAAGGCATCATCTTCTATATATTCCTATAGGAAAATTTATAAACTCTGATCATCACGATAGCAAGAATTTGAACTAACTTAATAAAAGTTTAGCGAAATACCTATTAGATTTTTGATTTACTAATTATCAAAAGATACTAATTTTAAACCATATTATATATTTACAGTTTAAGTGCACATTTTTACGAATCAGAAACTAGTTAATATTCCACGTGAATAGTTACTGAATTGTTTCTATGAACACACAAATTTAGTCCTAACGTGCTTATTCGTGTATCAAATTGATTATCATTATAAAATTAAAATGTAATACAAATATTTTTTTAGTAAACAGTAGTTCCTTCAGGATGCAAAATTTTTCTTTAGATTATTAATAAATTACCTAAAATCCCAAACCTATCTTATAATACTTTTGTGAATATTTGGCATAAATTACTTGTTGAAAAAACAACCGCTTACACATAAATAAATTTCAATATACATTATTTTCGTTGGACTATATAATTCACATGTGCATAAGTCTTCTAAATTGTCTCCAATCTAAGTTCTATGCATTCGAATTAAATTGTTTGAAGTGTTTTGAATCTAGTCTGTTTTTTCCCCAGTGAGACAATCATAACTTAATGAGTATGATCATTCTTTTTTGAAACTTTATATTTCTGTCTTAGCTTAAATTGCTTCTACCGCAAGGTGTTACACCCATAAGCTTCCATTTGAATTACAACTTGGCGTTTCATTGAAGTTTATTAGTGTCTGTAGACATGATATTTTGATTAAATATTGTGTTGTGCAAGCACTTTTTCATAATTTCCGGACACTTTATAATTGCTTGAAATATTTTTCCTTTGACCTTAATTTATTTAATTGTATATCTAAAGACTCGTGCTTTTTATTTTCAATAAACATATACATATAATTTTTTTAAGCTGTGCAGGATCAATTTCGCTTTTTCCTTGAGCCGCAAGTAATCTAGCCAATTGATATGCAAACTCTTTGTTTTCTTCTTGAGCAAGATTATTGTTAAACAGCTGAGAACCATTTGGAATATTTTCATTCATTTTTAATGCTTTGAAGGCACAGTTGTCAAAATTCAATACTTTTGTATTCAACTTACAAGTTTGGAGTAACAACAATTTTATTTCATCTATAGCTTTCCGTAGAGTTGATAGATGTTTGGAATTTTTTATAATACCAGCAGCAACGATACCTTTCAATTTCTCCATTGTAGTTTCTAATAGAGTACAATTTTCTGTGCTCAATATTATAGTATAGAAGTCCGATGGAGAACTTTTCTCTGCTTAAAGAGCCATAGATAACAGTTCAACAATTTTCGGACTTAAACTACCCAAATACGTTTCTAAAGCTGTTAACAAGCGAAGCACGGAAAATAATTGAGATTTTTCAAAGTATCTTTCATTGACAAAATTTTCATTTGCCAGTGATAAGTACAGACTTTTCAGAACATTAAATTTAATTTTATCTACAGCTTGGTTATATATCTCCTCAATGCGGATTTAAAAAAACCTTGCCCATTCTGGTTGATAATCATATGTCTGATAATCTAAGCCAGCATCGATTAACTTATTTTTACATCGCCTCCAAAACATTTGCCACTCATAATCATAAGATGGATGTGTGTCAGGATCAGCTCGATATATTTGAAATACCTTATTTAAATCCATTATTTTTTGCTTAATTAAGTACCAATAAACTTTCTATATGACGTTTTCGTGTAATTGAGAAAACAATTTTCGCTGTGAACTCAATTCGGCACAGATGGAATCGATCTCGAAAGCAATTGAGTTGGCTTGAAATTCTTGAAATTTGGTCGTGATGAACTACTTATATTTCTGCGATTCCCATTATCTAGAATTTTATCTTCAGATATTCATCGTAGTATCTCTGCTTTGCTGAATGTAAAGATGGAATTTTGTACCTGCTGCACATGTCGGTACTTGAACTATAAACTTCTCTTAGTTTCATATGTGACCGAGTATGTAATGAAGTTGCATTGGCATCAAAATTAAGTTAAATATTTTTTCCTTTATTTATGGTCGGCTTGTCGTTATTAATTTCATCTGTTAGTTTATCCACCTCTTTCGCATCAAAAATTTGTGTAAAAGTAGGTCCATATTGTTCTGAAGCATGACGAGATGAATAAACTTTAGACAAAATCTCATGTCTATTTATATTAAATTCAGTTTCAAGGCATTGGTACGGTAAATATCGACCATGGTGCTGTTCAATAGCTAATCTATTTAAAATTAATGCCATTACTTTATCTTTTTTTTTAAGCGAAACATGGCGTAGATATTGGCGATATTGCTTTTCACAGAACTTAAGGCGATGTTTATAATCAATTAAATGATTTTGCATACATAATCCATCCATAAAAAGTTCACACAGAGCGCATTCGTACTTTGGCTGGCCGACGATGGATTTACCTAAAATTTTAACAACATACTCAACGCCTACTAGTCCACGAACGTTATCATCTAACGAATTGCTAAATATTTTTTTGGAAATTGTTCTTTTTTGAGATTTTCTAATTGGGATCCTACTTTTTCATGTTTATTTTTTGAAGATATTACGGGTATGTTTGATTGATTACTTGCTTTTATATAATTTTCATTTAATTTCTTGCTCATATCTTCAGTATTTGTTACAATCTTAATTTTTTTTGGTTTTGGTTCATAAATACCAGAATATTGATTGAAATCATCTTTAACAACAGATGCTTCTGAATAATCATCATCGATCACAATAACTGCGGATAAACGATCAAAGTCATCCGATCCACAAGTCGATTTTTCAATTTTTTTTTTCAGTATTTTGAAAACTACTTAAACTTTTATTTTTGCGCGTATTAATAGCCTTCACAAGTTTTACTCCTTCTTGTGGATTGATTTGGGTATATATATTCTGTCTACATTAGGAACTTCTTTGATAGTAATTTGTGTCTCGATTCGATCTCACATTTATGTTTTGTGAAATACATGGTATTTTAATATAATTCTTATCATAAGTGTATTTCGGTGTCGGGTTCATTTTAAATTTAAATTTGTTTCCATCTATATGTGCTCAACAATTTAAATTTCTTACGCAAGGACTTAGTATACACAGCACTGGTAATATTTTCTCTATTTACATATTTTAATACTTTTCAACTTTTCAAATGACTATCAATTCTGTATTCTAATAAAAGTAACATCTGAATTGATTAATAAGGCGTGAGGCCCCGAAATTTGTGGTTGTTAATAGTTCCGCTTCGTTGTAATTTTCTGGAACCATTATTATGTTGACGCAGGCGAATATATTAAAGTTAAAGCCCATTAAAGACAATACGTTTTGCAGAATCTAGATCGACAGAAACGAGTTTTGAATATCTCTGGTACGACGATCAGGAACTCTTGCGAAAATAATTCAACGTATGTTTTCCAACTAAAATTGAATGAAAAGAATAGTTTTTAATTCGAATTATTTTGATATAAATTGAAATGCACGTTATATATGTATATTCATAATATATTCTATTTCTGCAGTTATCCAAAAATTACCATACATTTTTAGGAAAAGTTAAATTATTTAGTAATCTAAACAGCTCTTAAAAATACCTTACGATCCCACTTCTGACTACATCAGTTATATTGCGTTAGCAACTAAGTAATTGCGGATTTTTTTTTTAAATCTAAGACAATTTTTTCATGGAACTAAATAACTTTCTTCTGTAATGTATTGCCCATTTTGATCAATGACCTTTTGCCATCTTTCAGGCAGCATCATAATCCCACGTTTATAAAACTTCTGGTTTTTATTAGCAAAACACTGAATCAGGTACGATTTGACATCATCATCATTATTAAAATTTTTACCATTCAAGGAGTTTTGTAAAGATCGAAACAAAAAGTAATCCGATAGTGCAGGGTCAGGACTATATGGTGGATGTGGCAAAACATTCCAACCAAGCTCCAATAAATTTTGCCATGATGGAATACAATACCTTTTCGATTTATCAATTCGGGCCGCTTTTCTTCAACTGCATTGATTAATTTCGTTAGTTGTTCAATGTAGACAACAGAATTGATTGTTCGGTTGGGTGGTAAGAGTTTAAAGTAGACATTTCCTTTATAATCCCACCAAACTGATAACAAAACCTTCCTTTGATGAATACCAACTTTTGATGTTGTTTGAGCTGGTTCACCTGACCTGCTCCACGATCTTTTCCGCATTTTTCATCGCCAGTTATCATTCGTTTTAAAAGTGCATAATTTTCATTACGATTCTTTAGCAAATCGCAGCTGTTAATGCGTTGCGTTAAATGCGATTCTTTCAGTTCGTGAGGAACCCATGTATCGAGTTTTTGAACATAGCCAAGTTGTTGTAAGTGATTTTCAATGCATGTATGTGATACCTGAAGCTTCTGTGCAATCTCACAATTTTGACACTGCCGTTCTTTTATGGAATCGTCGCCATAAACAGCACATAACTTTTTATGAGCTTGCGATGCGTTTTTCCCTTTGCGAAAATAAAAAAGCAAAATATGACGAAAATGTTCCTTTTGATCTTCCATTTTTCAACGAACGCCAAACGAAAACTACGCAACCGATCAAAAATTTTTTTTTACTGATTGACAGCTGAATTGCCAACTATCAAATAACAAAATGTGTTTTACATTTGGACTACGCCAGCAAACCTAAAAATTCAACTGAAGCCATCTGAGTGAAATCCGCAATTACTTAGTTGCCAACCCAATAGGTTTAGTATGGCAATCGCTCTTCGGGCGTATATTTACCATGAGCAATCTTCTAACAGAAATTTGTACATCCTAAACTCGGTATAAAGTTTGCCACGAAGTTTGTCACCCAGGAAAAATCATCGGAGATCATATAAAATACATATATAATACACTGGGAAACACTAATTTTGGTTTACGAAGTTTCTTACCCGATTTGGTATGATTTTGCCACACTGATTTCAAATCGGTAGTAAATTTTTCTCTAGCAGATCTAGTTTTCAAAATATGAACAAAATACATTTTTAGCTAAATTTTAATAAAATTTTAGAATTAAAAACATATATTACTCTTACTTAACATGAAAAAAAATTATTTTATTTGCTTTTCTTGCATGAGTAGAAACATAAGTCTTATTTTGAATGCTTCAGTAATAATCAGCCATCATATTTGCGAATATCCTGATGAAAACGTTCTCCTTGTTCTTCGCTTAAGTCGCAAAGGCCAAACTGTTTTAGTCCAGTGTTCAGTTTTGGCTCGGTTATCCCATAAGCACATGAAACAGGGGTATTGGGTATATCCTCCTTGTTGACCCAATGAAAATTTACCATTTTATGATCGACACATATCAGCCAGTTATGTTTCATGTATTTAATTCCCAAAAGAGTCCAAAAGGGCCTTTTTTTTTAAATAGAATCAAACGCATTTAAACGACATTCTCTAAACATATACATAGTTACCACAAACAGCGCAAAAACTATTTGGATCATTTAAACAAGAAATTCTTATGTAGACATAGCGGTTTATTTATAGAATAGTCGGACAAATCCCTCAGTTTTGAAACTCAATTTTAAAACATTGCACACATCCTTTTCTCCTCAAGAAGCTGCTCATTTGTCTGAGCCGCCGATATCGGACCACTATAGCATATAACTGTCATACAAACTGAACGATCAAAATTATGTGCTTGTATAGAAAATTTGTTTAACTGACAAAATCTCCTCACAAAACTTGGCTCAGATTATGGTTTAAGGCAAATGTTTAATATCCGAGATTGTTCATATTGGACTACTATAGCATATATCTGCCATACAAACTGATCGATCTAAATCCAGTCCTTGAAAACTTTTTTATTTGACGAGATCTTTTCACAAAATTTAGCACAGATTATTATTTAAGGCAATAATTCAATTTCAGAAGAAATTGTTTATATCGAATCATTATAGCATATAGCTGACATACAAACTGAGCAGTCAAAATTAAGTTCTAGCATGGAAGGTTTTATATTTGGGATGGATTGCACCGAAGCTAACGTTTTTTCTTGCGTACGTCATATAAATAAATATAACTCCACACATTGGATTTTTTACTTGATAACAGTTTTGATTATAAAATGTCTCCGACATTAAGTGACTCTTGATATTTTTAAAATATTCAAATTATCTAATGTTCCGAACTTTAAAAAAGCGAAGATTCGTTACATAGAACTGTCTTGATAACTGTCGATACCGGTTCGTCATACATTGCAATTTCAAACTACCACACTTTAAAACCTTAGTTATAAGACGTGTTATTATTTCTATTTTATTTATTATTTTATATTTTTCATATAATTATATATTTTCATACAATTATATATATAGAACATATAATTTTCATAAAATTGCAAAATTTCTGTTAATAAAGCATTAAGTTGAAAATTTGACACATTTTTTCTTGCAATTTCTCACATTATTGTTAATTTTTCTTTTATAATATGCACTAGACCAGAAAGTTTCCGGAGCTTTTAAATAAAACGAAAAGTTTTTGATCTTCAATACTTATTTTGTCGCCTTCAAAATCTGCTCCATCTGAAGCGGTACACATATGCCACCTCTTTTTCCAAACATCGAAACATGCCTTGTAAGCACTGCCCGGGATCGCCTCAATCAAGCCGAAAAGGGTTCCACGGAGTGGTAACTGAAGTTTTGGAAACAAACAAAAGTCGCATGAAGCCAAATCCGGTGATTGATGGATGGTATTGAACAAGTTTTTGATTTAAAATCGTTCACAACAACAGCTCGATAGCGCATTATCGTCATTGTTGGCCCACTATTCCGACTGTTTATGACGGATGTTGTCGAGCAAACATCTCAAAACGCTCAAATAATACTCTTTATGGACCGTCTGGCCCGTTGGAACGAATTCATGATGAACCAAACCGCGAATATCGAAAAAAAAAACAATTTCCGGAAACTTTCTGGTCTTAATGTACACTAACACTTCACTCACATTGTTTCTACATATTTATTTTATACAGTTATTTTCATATTCGCTTAAATAAGCATTTAATTTTTTTTACAATTTTCGTTATATGCACAATAACAAAAGGATTCAATGTAATAAGTGTTGCCCATCTACATATTTTGCAAACGAATCAAAATTGAAATAAATAAGATTATACCCCAAATACATAAACCATAATCTTTTCGTTCCTATCTCATCCCATGGAGAGGAATAAAAAAATTGTAATTGTGGGCATTTCTACAATGCACGTATTATTATTAACCATTATTTTGTCTATAGATAGCTGAGGACGAACTTATGAAGTAAACTTGATGTAACTAACTATTATGTCTGGGTGAATTATTTGTTAATTTATATATACACATAAGTAATAATAGTTGTTTTTTTTAACGCCGAAAGTCGCCTACGTTAAAAGAAGTTCAACGCGAATTCCTAATAATATGTAATTAATTTCCTACTATTGGGGTATTATCTGTATTCTTTATTTCTCTTGGTTCCTTTGCAAAATATGTACAGTGGCGGAAAAAAGTATTGACACAGTAGACAAAGACGGAAAAAATCGTCTTCTATGAAATAAAAAAATTATTATTATTTTTATCAAGAGTTTCGGTTTCGGTCAATTGGGTCTTAATAAGCTCATAGAAACTTCATCAGAAATCTCTGATAGCGCTGTTGGGTAATTAACCGGTGATTTGAAATACATAGGTGGTAGCCCCAAAACCATCCTTTTATTCTTGGCTTGGTTGCGCGCATGTGGTTTCAAATTCGTAAATTTTTCACTTCAATTAGGTGTTGGATGCGTTAGAAAGAATGTTGCGGAA